GCCCACATAAAAGCTAACTAACCACCAGTGGATGGCGACGACGTTCCGGTCCCACGTACTCTGCGCTAAATGGGGCATGGTAGCTGCGGCTTCAAAGAGGAAGGGCAGCCCTGTTGTTGTTGTTGTTGTTGTTGTTGTTGTGGATCTTGCGCTCGTCAGATGCCATTGTCGTTTTGGTTCCTAGATTGACCTGTGCAGCCATTGTTCAATCCATCCCATGACCCAAACTCTTAAACCCTGAGCCCTAAAGCCCTAAAGCCTGATAGGCCCTGTGAGCTGGATGGAGAAGACCTGCCCTGCTGGAATTCGGGCGCCTGGCTTGGAGGTAGCCAGGCGCGACCCCATTGCGGAGCTTGGGTGGTCCCTTTTTAAAGGGCGCATATTATTGCCCGGAGGATTATACAGGGGTATGCAGTATGCAGGATTTGTAGGCTTCAACTAGGTTACAAGAAGTGCATTTCGCAGGAGGGTATGTAAGGGTTTGCAGGCAAGCCAGCTCCCCTTACTTGAGCACTGACACGAAGTCTTGCATCACTTGGGGCCTTTATGTACTGAAATTCCCTGGGTAAACGGTATAGGGGGTGGTGCAAGAGGTCCTCCGTCTATCGTTTAAAAGGCACATTGAAAATCGAATGGGCACTGGGAGGCTTTCAGGGATGTGTAGGGTTTCGGATTAATGTATGTTCTTTTAGCAGGGAATGAAGGAATCGAAAAGAAAATGGCAACTAGAACATGCTTGGTTATGATGTAGATGTAGGAGCTACCATTCCGCCATTCCCGCATTACAGCCAGCAAGCCGTGATTAGCATGTGTGAAGTAGGATTTTGTTGGATGTTTGCGCGAGTGTATGTGAGGCTCTTTCTGAACATTGGTTAGTGTACTTAGTCTGTGTTTATATGAGGAGAACAGAAATCTATGGAGTTTGTCAGACTTACCCTTGTAAAGCCGCCACAAATCCTCTGTAATCCCCAAATATCCCTTGATTTTCAGGGGCTCTCCATTGGGTAGTACTTATGAGACCTTCGGAAGATTGCAGTTTTTGAGGGACCTTGCTATTCTGTACGGACCTTGGTGATTCTGTAGGGTCTACGAAGCAGCTTAATAGAATCTTACTTAGAGTTTCCAATGTAGACTTATTTATTCTCCGTTTGGTTGTTGCATGTTGTGCGAACGTACACCTTACTCGGTCCAGCCACCACAAGACACTATGCAGCGGAAGTCTCTCAAGATGGATCTCCATAGTATTCTTAGTGAGCAATCCCCTCGTAATCATCATATATCCCCAGGGTTCCTAAGGGACGCCGTGATATGAAGGATGAAAGGGACACTTTCACGGCGCCAGGGTGGAGTATAGATGTATTGGATGGTCTGGGTGCCGGGGGTGGCTTTGTAAAGAAGAAGAGGGGTGTTTTAGGTGGTGCCTCCTGCCACGAATAGTGGTGTAAAAGGAAACTTAGGCGGTTACCACCGGTGAACTATTTGTGGATGGCTACCAATCACTTCAGGCTTCTTTGCTAGTGTCCTTAGTCACTTGTGTCTTGAATCGTATGCGTTCCGGGTGTGGGATGTATTTTGGGAGACCCTTACACACATGGCTCCACCTGCCTATGCCCCAGCACTCTCTTGCGGAACGGTGTTCACTTCTCGAAGGGTTTGTTTTCCACTCTTGGCAGAGGTGGTCGAGTGCGAGATGTCTTGCCTGCACCAGAAGAGAGCAGCTCGGTGGAGCTTTTAAAAAGCAAGGGTCTCCTCTGTCTCCTTCATGGGTGCAAGGGTCCTTTCGGCGCCCCGGTGCAATACGGCCGCTAATGTAAACTTCTGATGAATAAGCCTCCTCCTTCTTCAGGGCCTTAATATTAGGATCCCTATTATAATCCATATCATAATCCCTATTGTAATCCGTATTATAATCCGAAAAATAATCCCTATTAAATTTTAACTCAAAATAAGGGGAGGGGGTTTGTTAATTTGTGGTCTACAGTACTTCTTGACAGCTTACGACATACAAGTGTTGTGGACATATTCCCCATATGATCTATAGTCTAAACTCCTTAAAGGGGGTTATATAGGGGATTACTATAGGGGCAGATCGGACTATAGCTCATATGATCTTTGGAGTATCTTCTTGTCATGCTGGTATGCCTGGAATGCTGCTATGCGCTTGCAGTCCACAGAGGTATCCATGGAACCCTCGTCCTTAGAGAGAGACTCTTTGCATGCTCAGGTAGGACTTGGGCAGCTTTGCATTCCATGTCCCCCTGCTCTCATGGACCCAGGTTTCTTGCAGATTAGGATGAAATTGGAGACCACAAGCAAAGAAATATATGTGACCTTGACGAAGGCACGTAGAATTTTGACCCGTCCTACCTGCACTCTTGGAGGCTCCCAGAAGAGAACCATGCCTTTGATACCGGTTTCCTTCCTTTGAGCTTTCGTGCCATCTGCTCTCAGTCTTTTTAGACCCAAAGCCTATAAGACCCCTGCGAGTAAGGAAAAACTGAAACAAGAATTGTGACCTGCGTTCAGGGAGACCCCACGTCGGGAAGCCGTTGACGGCTTTGAAGGCTTCGAACAGAAAAGCCCTAACAAATGATAATGACATTTTCATTAAGATGACAGGTTTAAGAAGACCACCAGCACGAACGAGCAAAACAAGTCGGGTCCGAGGTCTTGCAGGAGCCGTTCCCCTCTAAGGGTCTACACGCCAACCCTGTACCCCCCAATCCCTAAATCCTACAGCCCTAAAGCGTGAAGCCTCAAAGCTTTTGAACAGGTCATGCAGCCGCAGTACTCCTGCACTGACTTCACCGGTGTTGCAGCTTGGCTTGGGGAACGGGTCGCGAAGGGCGGGCAGAAGAAACCATATTCTGGCGTGGGCTATACCGGAATTTCGCTGAAATTATGATGGCAATCTCAGTCGTCTTTTGCCTTTGCTTCCCGCGACCTTCACAAGAGCATTCATTGGTGATGCAAGGGACAACAGCAAAGAGATCATAATATGCCCCCATCTTGAGCTGCATGACGCTGCCTCAAACTGATGGGCGTCATTTGTGGAGGGGTTCTCTTAGGAAAGACTGATATCATGGTACTGGAACGAGGACCCTCAGCTCGAGATAAGGCAGGCTGCCTCACAGTAGGAAGCCTAGAGTTTCGTGGCGGTGCTTGCGAGAACTTCAAGTTTAAAAAATCATAGAAGGACAAAATGGATCGAAGACCTGCTCTTTGAGTTCTCAACTGTGTTGATCCATATTGCAAAGCTTATTTAGTTTAGGTTTGAAGTCATGTGTGGCACATCTGCAGTGCAGTTGTCAAGGATTTGGGGTGAGGGACGTCCAACGTGGATATCCATTCTAGACCTCAGTGTCAGGAGGAAAGCGGAAAATGAATGCAGTGAATTTGCCTTGGCTTGTGAGGTCGTGGCCCACGGTCTGGGGCACCCTTCATTCTACGATTTTCAGTCCATAAGCCTAGACACCCTAAGCCCTCAACCCTAAACTTGAAATCCTTGCCTGACGTCCCCAAACTTCGAGGATAGCCAAACCTCGTGTTTTGGGCGCGGAGATCAAACGGGTTCCAGGCGTGGTGAGCTTGCTTGCAGGGGTAGCCTATTTCTTTGTTGAATGTTTGAAGAACTTCTTCATAAGATAAAGAAAAAGGAAGGAACCATGTTTCGATTCTGGGTTGAGGGTTCGGGGTAATCCGCGGATTACGTTGCTGCCAGGCTGGGCATCAGGAGTCTCATTGCAGCTACCAGGGTTATTGTTTTCATCCCCCATTAGCCTACTTTGCCTCGTGTGGCTAGTCTGTTTGTGGTGGTAGTGGTTCTGGGACATTGCCTTTGTTGCTGGTGTTGTTGATTTAAGCTCATGAATTCAGAAGCAGGACAGGTCAGGTGTAGCAGCCCTTACCCCTACCCCCTAAACCTCTAGACTGCATGGAAGTCTTTCTATGGCCCTATAATCCCCTATATAACCCCAGTTTCCATTTCATTTTCCATTTTCTTTTCCATTTGATTCTCCACTAGTAAGGGGGACTCTATGGCCCTGCAGGTTTCATCAGGAGCTCCAAGCCCAACGGGAACGCATCAACCTTTTCGCTACAAATGCATGTGTGAGGTGAGGCATGTGTGAACTGTTTAGTTGGATACTGTAAGCAGCTCCAGAAAGACTCGGGCAAGCGTCAATGGGGGGTAAGGTGAGACATTCGCCCTTCCTTGGAGGTGCATTTCCTGGAGACTGTTATGATCTGTTATGCGTTTCCCTGCGATGTAGGATCATGTAGCCCTAGCAGCCTTAGCAGCCTTCTAGGGATATCTTATGTCTCATTGAGGCTGGTATCTTATCGTGAACCCTTCAAGGCTCCCAAGACATCTAAAGCCAGATGCCCTACACTCTCAGCCATGTGGTAGTTTCCCTAAATAGGGGGACCTCAATATAGACCCCAAAATATTATAGTCCTTATTATGGGACCCCCTAACACGGTACCCCGAATTTAGGGAAACCCCCATCTAGCTTCCACGCTTTACCCTCTCTGCCCGGCATGCTCCATTCCAGGTGCATGTTTATCACCTACAAGGACCCGGGGGCGGCCATGTCTCTGATATGGGGATTTCCCAAAATTAGGGGTACCCTTTTGGGGGTCCACATAATAAGGATTATAGTATTTTGGGGTCTACATTGGGGTCCCCTTGTTTTGGGAAACTACCATATGATCCCATGCCAATGCCATTTTTAACGGACAAGGGGATCCTTACGCAGCGATTGTTTGCACAGGATTTTTTACCAGGGGTATGCAGGTGAAGACCGAAATGGGCTTGGGAACTTACCTGCAGGATTTCAAGCCCTACGTCTCAAACCCCGGATGCTAAAGCCTGGCATTATTAGTCGGGTTTTTCACGATGGGCGGGTGGTGGTTTACTGGATTACGAGGCTTTGCAGGTCCCTACACTCTACACAATCCTCCAAATCCCAAAGCAACAGAGTTTCATTCAACCCTTGCAGGACCAGCACGGCGCCAGCAAGTCCTCGTGCGCTCCTTGCGAGCTGGCTGGCGCCTGGTCGGGTTAGGGGTGGGCTTCGGGGTCGGATTTGGGGTTTAGGATTTTGGCTTTTGGGATGTGGGGTGCAAGATCTGGGGTTTAGGGCTTGGGGTTTGGGGTCAGGGGTTTTGGGGTTTGGGTTTTGGCTCTTAGCGTCAATGGGCAGTGTCTCTTGTGTTTTTGTTCAGTCATTCCCGTGCCTTTTCGAGTGAGTTGTGGCATGAAATCTTACAGGGCATGCCTCGCCAGACCAGCTTAAGGACTGCAACTGTAAGGGCACAAGTTGAAACAACAATAACCAATCAGGAGCACTAGTCTCACTAGTCCTGACTTTTGTAAATCTGGAGTCATGCCTTGGGATTTCAACCATGTGTTAAAGTGATGCCCAGAGTGACTCAGGTGTGGGGAACATTGACTGCCCGGCGATGGGCGGAAAAGGCCAACGCCTGAGATTCCAGGTCATGTTGCTTGTCACTTCTGCGAACCGCCTCTAGTCCCTAAACCCTGTACTGTGACATCCCCAGACCTAAGCTACTGCTAGCCAGTGTGGTCCAGGTCCAGAGGAGAACTCGACAGTCGCAGCTTGCGCCAGTCAATGCGAAGCTGGGCCTGCACGCGTGCTCTTCAACAATTATGCCCCTGTCAGATAGTGATGAAGTGGTCTGTTTTGTTTGATCTGCCGGCCAGAAGATGTTCTCTGTTAGCTGTGAAAGTGTGCTGGCGCAGCCAAAGTGGCCCCTACGGATGTTTTCGCTGGGTGAACACTTTCGGGGCATGGGCAGGGATAGTTTCTGTATTCATATGAGCGGCACCAGGTGTGTACCAAACATGAGGGGACTGACAATTCATGTTTGGAATCCTTGAAGTTAGCAAATTGTTGACTTGCTCCGGATTCTTGCATACAATGCGCGAAGTAGTCCCTGTGTTCGTTGCTCTTGCTGTCACCGGCTTCTGAAGTGCAGCCAGTGCTTTTACAATCTGCCGTAATTTCTTGTCTACCTACCTACACATACAGTCAGGAAAGAATGACTCAAGGCACCACCGGCATTATTCATGTTGCCCTGGCCCCGAAGATGAGTCTCCGTAACTCAATCTTAGAACCTGAACCTCAAATCCTTGACTTGAAGCCCTTACCCCCAATGAGCCTTCCCCTGCAATCCCCTAGCCCAAACCCAACAACTTTGAACTCTACGCCGTCACCACTGCCGAGGAGGCGCCTCGGCCCGATGCCGGCGTGACGCTGCCTCCCGCCGTGACCAACCCCGGCTTGCGCCTGAGAGACTGTTGAGGGGTTTCTCAGAGCAGGTCGGGGTAGATAGAGGGTTATATTGGGGTAATATTGAAATAATGGAAAAAGGAAAAATACAATGGACATCACTTCAGTATATTGGGGTTATATAGTGGCAGTCTTTATGGGGGCCCTGCTGAATCAAGAAAATTGTTTGTGGGTACATTGCACTCGCACCATGACTGGTTTCAAGATATCTTATCCGTTTCTTCTTGGGTATGATGGGGGGACCTCAATTTCGCTAGCAGCAGAGATCAGGCCCAAACATATCGCCAGATCCTTACTTCTATGATTCCTCCCTTGGTATCTTTAGGTGTCCTGTAGCCCCCACCAAAGGTAGTTTCTCATCCAGTCCCGCTAAACTGAGTTGCTGTTAAGGAACTCAATTTTCCATAATGGGGGAAACCTTATTACTTACTATATATACCCATTATGGTAGCGTAATTTAAGTTCCTTAACAGGAAACCTAGACCCTAAACCCCAAACCCTCAATAGTAGTTTCCATTCTATTTTCCATTACCCCTATATAACCCCTATGTAACCCCTATATAACCCCTATATCACCCCTGTATAATCCCTATATAACCCCTATATCACCCCTATATAACCCTAAGATTACCCCCCAATATACCTCCATCATCCTGTTCTAGTATCTCGAAGCCTCATCCTTTCAGGCCTGAGCCGCGTGGCGTCCAACGCTGAGGCGCCCGATACAGGGGGCCTAGAAATAGGGTTTGGGGTTTAGTAATTTAGGGTTTCAGAATGTAAGTTTTGGGTTTGAGAATTTAGGGTTTCAGAATTCATGATTTGGGGTTCAGGGGCCGGGGTTTCAGGTTCATAGCTTAGTTTCTGTGTGTTTGAGGCAGACTTTGCGAAACGTGTACAAGAACCAATGCAGAACCTTGCTTTTCTTAGTGGTCCAAAGTTAGTAGACAGCTTCCCGCATCTGCTTTAGCGTTGCCAGTCAAGGGCCTTTAGACAGAGGGATGAGGGCTATGTGTTTGGGGGTTCAATCCTAAATCCTCAGTATCAAGGCCTGAACACCGCGCATCCGAAGCCCTGCTCCCTGAACCCTAAGCCCTCGTCAGGCATTCCCAAGTAGATTGAATCTAAGAGATAAGAAATCTATCAGGCCGCGGTGTATTGTCTGGGTTTAGTTTCATACACTACCAGTCCTCAAATAAGGCTAGTTTGAGTATCCAAGGCTGAATGCCGAGCTTATCATGGACTGCGTCCGTATGCAGGCTCCATATGTCCTGAAGGAGAACTTTCGAGTTCCTCAACATAACCTTTACCCTCGCTTCAGAGGGACCCGCAATCCCATTCGTAATCTCGTCAAAATTTGCCTGGTACCCGGCAAGTACACCCTTTGTTAGAGAGCACCTGCATCACATACCCATTTGCCATTCGATCCTCAGTATTCGTTTGTTGGGGGCTTCTGCTTTTAGTGCAGGTGCGGTCACACCTGAGTCCTGGCAGTACGAATGAGCTGAGCTCTTCTGATGGGTGAATGCGAGCCAACGAGATGATGGGCCAGACAGGCACCTTTCGAAGGTGATGGCGAGCTTGAAGGCTAGAAAGGAGCAAACGTCAACTAGAAGGCCTTGCCCTGAGGAAAGGCGCCGATAAGGGCCCCCCCCGCCAAACACCAATTCTGGAGCCGAGAAATTTGGCGCACGCGAACAAGGAGCCTGGAGGGAAATGGGTTCAGCGCTTGTTCTGAGTCAACAGCTGGCCCCAAAAGGCCCTGTAGTGCTGGGAAAGTCGTGGCTCACCTGGCCAGCCTCTGGGATAAGCCCTGGCACAGCCGACTCACGAAGACGACGGTGCAGCGCAGCTCGGGCTCGAACGCCCCGCGCAATTACGCAGAGTTCCCGCAGGAGATCAGCGAGGAGCTCCGCGGGCTCAACCTAACCCAAGGCACCACGGCGTCCTTGGAGATGTCGAGCAGGACTTTTGCTGCGGTCGGGTGCATTTGCGAGAATGTCTTGCCGCTGTGGGCCAGTACCCCATACCCTGAACCCTGCAACTCCGAAACCCAGAAACCCCAGACCGCAAACCTTAAAACAAACACCAGAACTGCCAAACCCCAAAACCCCACAAGCACAGTCATGGAACTTAAGCTCTGATCTACGCCCAAAGGAGATGGTCTCAGCGCCCGTCTCGCCGCCTCTGCCTCCGGCAGAGGGCGAGACGGCCTTGGCCACCCGCGCTCAGGTGCCGGAAGGGTTGTGTTTGCGAATCTAAATTTAGGATGCGGGGTTGAGCGTTCAGGGCTTAGGTCACAGGATTTAGGGTTAAGGGGCTTAACAGTTTAGGGTGCTATGATAAAGAGATGCTGCGGCAGGCAGATGCCAACGTAGACTCCTGTAAACATTTCGCATAACTCCTACTAGCCAGCATGTCCAGGCGCAGTTCTACAGGACTCCTCGCCTGGATCGCTCCTCAAACGAAGTAGACGTAGCCCTTAGGCAGACTCGGCAATCATACTCTTACTCTCATTGACCACGTCCGCAGAAGGAAAAGTGAACGTGCCTTCTTCGCATGTAGCTGCAAGCGCCCCAGGAGTAGCTCTCCTAGGCGTAATAGTACCAAAACCCTAACTATCAAGCCTAGACTCAATCCCCTAAAAGCCTCTTGGACCTCTCTGCAAACATGCTGGGAGCCCGGAGGAATTGGTCCTTTCCTCGTGGTTGGGCAGACTTATCAGGGCTCAGGGCTTTGAGGTTGAGATTTTATGTATGTGGCCCTGTCACGGGGAGGTTGCCAACCGCATGACAACGACCACGCCTTTTGGCGCCCTGGCCAGCGAGAGGGCTATTCCTTGTGCATTAGGATGTAGCCTGAATGCGCTGCAAACCTCTTCGCTGAAAATTATTGGCAGGCACAAAGCGCAGAGATGGGAAAGTGAGCGCAAAGGGATAGAATGGTACCCCACAAGCTATTTCAAAGAGGTGGTATTTTGGCAATTCTCGGTGTTGCATATATAAGGCTCATGAAGAAATGATCCTCTCCCCCCATTCCTGCCATTGCCCCGCAAGTAGCCCCCACTAGGCTCATGACTTTGAGAGGGGTTCTTGAGCTGAGGAAAGGCGCCCGAGTACCTGCCCATGGCCTCTTGGTTCTGTTGGGTCCAGATCCTTCTGGGCAGGAGTTGAGGATTGGATGGGAGTTAAGGGCTGCAAATGGACAAGCTAGGGGTACGATATTTGGGGTCCCTATAATCAGGATTATAGTATCTTGGGGTTTATATTGGGGTATCCTAAGTTGGGGAAACTACCATGTCAGGTATGTTGTTGCCAGCTGCTTGGGGCTTGGCAAGGTTTACGGCCATAGAATCTGGCTAAGTAATGCTGGTTAGGCCCTGGGATATCTAGCATTTTCCCTAATGGCTTTATAGGGGACGCTATGTACGAACATTTGTCAAAGGGTTGTACAACCCAGGTAAGAAGCGAAAGGCGGGATGGGCTGCCTCCACAGTTCAGGATTGTGTAAGGGCAATCCAAACCTGCCAAGCCCTAGCCTTGAACATAATGCAGAGGCTTAAATAATTTCCAATATCATGGTTCCATATGTCTTATATGATTATGGTCTATGGTACCTCAAAAGGACCTTAAAATGATGTTGGTAATTATTTAGGCCCCTGTAGTAGGACACACTGCATCCTTCAGCCTCAACACGAACTATAACATGATTTTGGTAATTGTCTAGGCCCCTGTAGTAGGACACCCTGTATCCCTCAGGCTCAACACGAACTACTCAAGCCTCAGTCGGTGTCAATGTGCGCCGAGCACACTGCGCCCAGCATAAGCAAGAAGTCCTATGCCTACGCCGTACATCCCGAGCGCTGGAACCCCAGACATAAATCCTAATCCTTACATCAAAAGACCCCAAATCCTAAGCTGCAAACCTTGCACTAAATCCTCTACCCGTCCCTGCCAGGTCGTGTACCGCAGCCCTGAGGATGCCGCCGCTGCACAGCTGCCCCAAACGGCAGGCTCCAGGGATCTATCTGGGTGGTTGTCAAATTATGGTCCCTATTTGGGTACCCTAAATATCAGGTGCCGTATTGTAATAGGGATCCAAAAAAAGGGACCACAATTTTGACAGCCGCCTATTTGTTTTTTTCCAGAAGCTGGGGTCCTACCTGCAGTAGGTATTGTATTACCTTGGGTGTACTGGGGGACCCCATGGCTGTAAAAGTCCTACAATAGGACCATGAACATGGATCTCACGCTTGCTTACGGTCCCATCTCTCTCAAACCCTGAGCTCCCAACCCCAAAGCCACTAAACTACAAGGGCCCCTCCTTCAGCCCTCAAAGCTGCTACACCTAAACTAGATGCCAACCTCTAAAAGGCCCCTTTCAGGGCGGCCCAAAGCCCCGCTAACAGGCTCAGCAGCGCTGCCGTGGCCCGTGGAGCTCCCTGCGTTGCTGCAGGACTTGTGGAGGGAAGGCTGACGATCATCATGGGACTGGAAGATTCCGAGGTAGATGATGTGAGCAGGATGATGGTGGTGTTGATCTCGCACTAGTCGTAGAATTGGTGGAAGGAATGAGTACTGTTAGTGGAGTGGTGGTAGCAGCAGCCGCAGTTCCAGGAAGAGGAGGAGACGTGGCGGTGAGGCTGATAGATAGTACGTGCTACTTATCAACGATGTTGGAAGAGCAGTGCTCTCCTTGTTTTTTTGCAGAAAGGTCATGTGCATTGAGATTGTCAGAAATCACCCGGGGTTCATTTTTCTATAGTTCATAATGCTCGCAAGAACCCTTATGTTCCGTTTTTCTTTACCCCCACAGTTGTGTTGTTCGATTTGTTCTCCTCGCCATCCGTGCAATGCCTGACCGCAGAGTATCCTTGCAGTGCCCAATCGCAGGGTATTCCTGCAGTGTCCAACCGAACAGTATCCCGGCTGTGCTCAACCGTAGAGTATGCCTGCGGTGCACAACCGCAGAGTATCCCTGCACCGCCAAAACCCACAGTATCCTTACAAACCTGTGTAAGAGACGCTGTATAGCCTCTGTGAACCCTTTACGCGGACCCTAGAACGGTTCGACAATTCGTTTAAAAGAGTTTATATCGTCCTTATTACCCTTTGAAAGAATGCTATGTAGGCTTTATAAGCCCTTTACAGGGACCCTGTGTAGGACGTGTCAACTCTGTAAATGGAGTCCATGTAGGCTGTAATGTTGGACCCGCTTTAAT